AGATGGATCTCCGATCTACTTCTTGTATTTTTCTTGGCTATAGTATTGCACACCATGGATATCGGTGTTTTGACCCCGACACTGAACGCATTTACATTGTATGTCACGTCCGGTTTAACGAAAACTCTTTTCTTTTTTCTACACCTCATAAAGATCCCTCAATACTTGCTCCTAACAACCCCTATATTTCTTCTTACCCTGTTATCATATCACCATCTCTTCACCAAAATCCCCTTCTCAATCTAAAACTCCCATTCATACTACTCCTACACAACCAACCAGCCCCCTACCAGCCCATACATACTACCGTTGCACCTCCACAAAACATCCTAACACCACAACCTCCGCCTTTGACTGGCATACGAGCATTTAACCACCCACCAATTCAACACCGGACCACCAAAAACATTCCTCTACCTCTACTACTATCCCTCCCTCACAGTACTCGAGACCAACCCACCTCCAACAAAATCCGAAAAAGAAAACGCCATACGACCCATCAACTTTTCACACATTCACCAATACATCCATTCAAGAACCCAACACATTTATCGTTGCCAAAAAAGATCAGAACTGGCATAAAGCCATGTCAGATGAATATTTGATGTTAATTCGCAATGGAACTTGGACTCTGGTTCCCCATGTTCCCAATGCCAATGTTGTCAATTGCAAATGGGTCTATAAAATTAAGAGGGATCAATATGGGGCGATCTAGCGCTACAAAGCCCACCTAGTTGCCAAAGGTTTTAACCAAAAACTAGGCATTGACTATACAAATACCTTCAGTCCGGTGGTGAAGCCTACTGCTATCCGAGTTGTTCTATCACTCGTGGTTACCAAAAAATCGTCTCTACAACAACTTGATATCCAGAACGCATACCTACACGACGATCTAAATGAAACTATGTATTTACATTAACCCCAAGGCTATTTTGACCCACGTAACCCAAACCATCTGTGTCTTCTTCACAAGTCCATGTACGATCTCAAACAGGCACCGAGAGCTTGGTTCTAATGACTCTCTTCAGCCTTGATCTCTCTTGGTTTTCGAGGTTCCAAAACTGATTCCTCATTATTTATCTACTTGGATCATAGTACGATTATGTATATGCTTGTATATGTTGATGACATTATTTTGACCGGAAACAATAATAAAGTTATCGATCACATTGTTTATAGCTTGAGTAAGTCGTTTGCAGTGCAAGACATGGGGCCTCTATCATATTTCTTGGGAATTGAGGTTGTCCATAAAGCTTCCGATATTTTTCTTTCTCAATGAAAATGTATAAACGAGTTTGTTGGCAAGGGTAAACCTGTCTCACTCAAAACCTGTTCTGTCGCCATGCACCACCATCACAAATCTCTCTTTGGGTGATTGTGTTCCTTTTGATGATCTGTTGTGTTAAAATATCCTCCTAGGAATACGTCAAAGATAACAAAACTGTTATCTAAAGGGAGACTTAGCTAACGGTCGCCACCCATCATGAGTGATTCTCGTGGCCTCGTACTCAGACCCCTATGCTCCAGCACCAAGGTCCAATTTAGGCCAAGAAAATCTGGTCTAAAATAAGCCAAAATAGTACTAGCCACTCTCTAGAGTAACAAGTTTAGCGCCCACGATGCTGTCATCTGTTACTTCTGCATCAATAGCAAATGGCCGCTAGTGGTGCATGATTCGCCAATAAGAACGATCCACGTCCTGTCGGACCAGACACGACAAAATATCCTGTCGGGATCACGCATAGAGGAGAACATGTATAAAAGGAGTCATTCTACTCCAGGAGAAGGGATTGCCTCATTCTCTATCCCATACCTAAACCTAATTCTCTCATAAAACCACTAACTAGACCGTCGGAGCTTCATTACGGGACTACCTCCCAGATGACGACTGACGTCCATTCTTTCTTTGTTGTGATTCTTAGGCTTAACCTAGGTGAAGCTATTCTAGGACGACGTTAAGCTCGAAGAACATATCACAACACAATGAAATATAGACAAATGGTGGGCGCTTTACAATATGTTACATTATCACTCCCTGACATTACTTTTGCAGTTAATAAAGTATGTCAATTCATGCACTTACCCACTACGAATCATTGGTCTGCGGTCAAACATATCTTACGTTATCTACATGGTACGACGAGTCATGGTCTCTTAATCTCTCGATCGTCGTCCTTGGTGTTGCATGCCTATATTGATGTTGCGTTCAACTCCTTGAGTGCCTTTTCTGATGCAGATTGGGGTGGATGCCATGATGATCGTTGATCCACGGGAGGATATGCAATATATCTTGCGTCTAATTTTGTTTCGTGGTCTGCTAGAAAATAAAAGACTGTATCTCGGTCATCTACAGAATCAAAGTACAAAGCATTAGTGGATACGGTTGCTGAATTAACTTCGCTCAAGACTATGTTACGAGAACTTCATGTTCCATTGAAATCGGTTCCAACACTATGGTATGATAACTTGGTTGCCACGTATTTGTCTATTAACCCTGTCTTTCATGCACGAACAAAGCATGCAAAAGTTATTTTCACTTCGTTCGAGAAGGAGTTGCATAAGGAAGACTGTTAGTTCAATTCATTTTAATGCACGATCACACCCTCTTCTTGAAATCCAAGCTAAGAATCGATACCCGACCTTAGCTTGCGGGCGAATATTAGGCAAATAGTTATATTTATATTATTAGAGGGTGTGTTATGTAAATGTGTCTACTGTATATACACATGTATTATGTCGATTATGAGATATACAAGATACCCTTTTCTTAAGTTTTATAGGGAATGAGTTGTGGATAGTGGGGGACGGACTAAAACCAAAATTATGTTGAGATAGCCGAAACTGGTTATACGACTATTGTATTGGTAATTGGCTATACTCATGTCGATATAGTGTATATTCGTGATAATTTGAGAATTAGGTTTCAGAAATGAAATATGACAAATCATGTTTAGTCGATTCTGATTTTGATGTGCCGATTGCGTCTTTGGCTTGAACTGTTTATTTTTTTTTCCAGATTGCCACGACTAGAATCAACTTGAAAGAGGACTGGAGGAGAGAATGTGTGGTTTTTGAAGATGTTGAGTGTGATATTTATAGTTGGCAAAAAAGATTATTTTTTTAAGAAAATGACCGTTGGTCAACAGTCAAGATATATACACACACACACACAGTGAGAGAGAGAGAGAGAGAGAGAGAGGGGGGGGGGGGGGGGGTTAACACGGGTTTCCCAACCCATTCTTCTGCCGAATCTGTGGTTCCGTTACTCGATATCTCTAAATTAAGGATATATTGTAGTAAATAGCAACATGTTTTACCGTTAATATAGGCATTACATTTTGATTTTATTTTTTAACCTATAATAGCAATGAAATTATATTTTTTACCCGTTATAGCAACATATTTACATATTTTACGCATAACATCAACCTATTTACGAATTGTTATCAGTAACCACAACGTACTTATATTCGTTTACGGATAATAGCAATATGTAAGAAATAATTTTTTTTTTCATATTAATGGTGAAATAAAGTACATTGCTATTATGGATAAAATAATTGGGTATGTTGGATTATTAGCAAGAAGGAAGAAAAAGTAGGTCATGGTTATGGTTAGATATATGTTGCACTTAAATTAATTAGGGTAACGTACCACTTAGACGGGATCTAGTAGTGTGGGTCAAACACACGAGAATAGAACTGCAAATTTTGGACAAATGACCCTTCACCTGTTTCTGTTTGTACTCAAGATCACATGCGAATGCGATGAATTCTAAAATATTTTAGATATAATTCTTCTTGAAAACTCAGTTTAGTCTTTATCATATATTACCATATGACTCTATCATCAACCAAGATATTTTATAACTCATTGCTTATTATATATTCATTCTATACTAAAGGAATATATTCCTGAAATGTAACATGAATAAAAACGAATTGTATTCTGTTCATTGACATTCTCCATTTTGGCTTTCTGAACACATTTGTTTGTTTCTATATACTATATAGTTCTAAAAGGTTATTGATATGTATAAATAGTTGAGGTTAATTTTAAAGGTATAAAAGTTCGAATTCTAGCATGATTTGTTAAATTTGTTTAAGTAAATCACTTTATGTTATTAATTATTAGTAATAGAAAGTTAGAAACTTTGATCGAGACAAATGAAGATTTTATAATCTTAATTAAAATAAATTTTGAAATTTGAGTTCATAATTTATTTATTGGCTACATTACAAGCTCATGAATCGGTGACTTGTATTATACGACATCCCAAAGCTACCCCTCATCACAACATTGCACGTACCCATCACCATCGTACTTGCTACATTGACTAGAGTTGCTTAATATTTTATAAATTTTAATGTGTAATTTTTCAATTGATAAATTTATGCTGCATTGTATCTTATAAATATTAAAATATAACAAATCATTAACGTATACTGATATTATAATGCATTAACTAATAATGGCATGTTTTTTCAACATTTAAAAATAATAATAATAAACAGATAGACCCGACCGGACCAAGCTTTTTACAAATTGTTTTTGATTGGACCGGTTAAACCGGTCCACCCAAGACCTAGTGTTACCCAAAGTGTGACATAAGTATATAGTTTATAACCAAATAAAATAAAACACTCGTTATAAACCAAATAAATAAAATACTTATGAATAAAACAATAGTCAACCTCCATTATTATGGCTAGTTAATTAATTAATGTACTAAGATTGCTAAATCTTCGTGAAACATATGTTGTCCATACAAAGTTACAAACACAAACACTAATTACATTAAATCCCCCACTAATCATTGACACATGTCATAATTTCCCCCTCTACCCTGTCTCACTTAGCGAGAGCCACTATTCAACCACTCTCCTCCAAAGTAAAATCCCAAAAACCATATACGCCTTTCTGTGATAGAATTTACATTCTATCATAGTACCTGTGATCTATCGATCAGTTTATGATAGATAGATCACAGATAAATCGGCTCATGGAGCCGATGAGTTTAGAGATTGAAGCAATGTACCACAAGCAAGAGGCCTAAGAGAAGGGATTCTAAGGCAACTCAACCCACCCCCCGGAATAATAGAACACTCTGGCTGAGGTCTTTGCATTTCCAACCCCGGAATACAATTCAATGCAATATCAAAACCAACATTCCTTCCATACAATTTCTCACATTCTTCACTAAATCCAGAAAAAAAATTATAAGCCACACTCAATTTCAACAAGCTTCTCAATTCACAAACCAAATCGGGCAACTCACCTGACAATTTGTTGTGTGCTACATTCAAAACTTCAATATCTTCCAAACAAGATATCGTATCAGGCATATGACCCATCAATGAGTTGAAACTCGCATCAAATACTTGCATATCTGACCACATCCCGATTCCTTGAGGTATACAACCAGTTAATCGATTGTTCATGAACAAGATCTCCTTCAATTTCGGACTGGAATACCCAAAATTTACAGGGATGTCGCCGGTAAGCTTGTTGTTAGCAAGATTGATCACCGAAGCAGGTGAACTCCCTAAATTTTGTGGGATTTCACCTTCGAATTGGTTGTTGTTGAGGAAAATTGCGTCGAGATTTCTGCTGAAGAGATCTTGAGGAATGGGTCCGGAGAACGAATTGAACCGGAGGTCTAAGTAGAGGAGATTTGGGATTTGGAGTGTTGTCGCCGGAAATGGTCCGGTGAACTGGTTATTACTTAGGTCAAGTTCGGTAAGGGCATAAAGGTCTTTAAAGCTTTGTGGGATTGTTCCTGTGAATCTATTACTATTGAGGTGAAGAAGAGACATATCTGTGAGGAGAGAGAGTTCTTTTACGAGAATGCCCTCAAGGTTGCCATGGTTGAGATCTATACCTGCAACTACAGGTCCAGATGGATCACCCGTTTCCTCAGTCGGATCTGCACAAAATACTCCATTATAAGCACACACATTTGCCCCGACCCATGATCTCAATAACCCTTTCGGATCACTCTTGATTGCTGTCTTCCATGCTTGGAGGACAATATAGGCATTCTTGAGATTTGAAGATGGACGAACTGACGGATTTGGGTAATTCACCCCACCACCCACCCATCCGCCACCGCCACCGCCGCCGCCTATACCCACCCCAACACCGACACCACCACCCACGCTAAATGAACTAGCATTGGCTGTGGTTTTGATGATGAAGATGAAAGAAACTAAAAAAAGAAAGCATTTTTCGTCCATTTGATTTGTGGGTGTTGTGCTGGGTGTTCTTGAAGGAAAGATGTTTGTATTTACAGAGATTGATGTGAGAAGGAGATGGAGGTGGGTCTTGAATTTAATGATTTAGTATTGTATGCGTGTATAAATCTTGGATAATTCTTCTTGGGTTTTACATATTTTAATATATACATTTGAAACAAGTACATTTGACTTTTGTTGATGACATGCAAATTTTAAATTAATTATTGATCATGTTCCATTTTAGGTAGAAACGAAACTTTGGCAACGACTTAAATACATATCTTTCAAACGCTAGTTCTCGTATTGATGAGATATTTTATACCATAAGCTTCTAGAAATACATATCTTAGGAACGATGGTTTTCGTTTTTTCTGAGTTTTAGTCTAAACCTTGTTTTTTTTTTTGGTTGGTAGCCATTTTGAACTAGTTTATCTGCAGTTTTGATCTCTATCCAAACTAAAAAATGACTATTATACCTTTAATGAATTTAATTTTCATTTTTCTTTCACTTTTTAAAATTATTATTATTAACGTTTGAAGATCAACTCTAAACAAAATTCAATATATTCCAAAGATAATCAATTGTATCTTCAAAATTCTTTTCCTCAATCCTAAAAAAAATACAATACTAATCCTTGTTTCCAATCATAGAAATAAAAAATACTAATCAAACTTCACAAAGTAACTAGATAAAATAAAAGATCTCCAGCAGTCCTGTATGTTCAACTCAACGATTTTCACAATTCTTCTAACAGTAGGTTCACAATTCTTCTAAAGGTAGGCATGCAGTGTGTTTAATCAGGAAAACTGTGATATTGTTAGAGTATTCCGAAAACCCTCAATTGCGTAGGTTCTTTCTTCGTCCCTCCACTCCCTCCACTCTTCTCCATAGTATCTAAAGCACCCAAACAACCCTTTACGATAAACCATGTATGTGATTATACATGTGTGTGATTTTTTCACCTGCTTTTTTTTTTGTAGTGGCGTAGAAGCTTGCTGGTTGATCGGTTCGATCTTTTTCAGAAAAGGGTACTTTGTTGTTTAATCTGTATCGGACATCAGGTTGAGCCGCTAAATCCAGATCACCTCCACCTACACCTACAGACCACCACCGTTCACCACCACTCACTCATCGGTGATCAAATTCAATCTCCGACGATACCAAGATGCGTGATTTTTTACTTGAATGTGTAAAATAGAATTGGGTTTTTTAGGGTTTTGTTTTTTAGGTGTCGAGAAGAGGAGGCGGGCCAATAAGCTGTGAACAAACCATGAGAGAGAGAGAGAATGGGGTGTGGGCCCCATTTTATTATTAATAAAACATTAAATTAAATAGAAAAAAACATAAAAAAATATATCAAGAGGGTAATTTAGTCATTTCAATTTTCAGAGGGACTATTTCCACATAGAAACATGACCAAAAGGATATTGAAACCAAAAAGTCAAGGTTTGGACTAAACCTCAGAAAAAATGCATATCATAGGGATCATTTTTACAGCTTTGTCTAGGGATGAGCATTTGGACCGGGGAACCGGCCGGAACCGGTACCGGAACCGGAACCAGATAGAACCGATCGGGTCGGGACCGAGACGATATTCTTGTAGATTTTGGGAACCGGGAACTGGTAGGAACCAGAACTGGTAGAACCGGAAAAAACCGGAACCGTATGTTGCTATTTCTCAAGGACCGGTTCCAACATTGAAGATACAGCAAGACCAGCCGGTAGAACCGGTGGCCCGGTTCGGTTCCTATTTTCCACAAAGTTCGGTTTCCGGGCCGGTTCCGGTTCCGGTCGGGTTAAGCCGCGTACGCTGGGTGTACGGAGAAGTACGATGGGCGTACTATGGCATCCCTGAGTACGTTGGGCATACGCGATCAGTGCACAAACCCTATTTTTGTGGTTTTATCCTTATTGAAGCTCCTTAATTTCCCCAAACCCATTCCATCCTTAGCCTCCACCTCTCCAATACCCTCCCTTGAAAACCCTAACCCTAGTTGAGCCTTTTGAGCAAAATAAGGTATGCTTGAGTGCTTTGGAGTGTTCTTGGTTCATCTTGTAGAAGAAGAAGATCTTCGGAGAAGTGTTGGTTGCGTTGGAGCTTGTAGATCTAGACTTTGTTCACCTTGATCTTTCTTTTAGAGCTATAAAGTTTGAATCTTGATGATGTATTTGATAGATCTAGCAAGTCTTGGGTACTATGAGCTTTTGGTTACTTTAGTGCATAAATTTTAGATCTTGAAAGTTTGTGACCTTGTTATGGATAAAGTTGGGAAATTTATCCATCTAAACATCATATTGATTCAGATCTAAAGGTTGGAGACTTGGACTTAATGGATTAAATTGAAAGAGATGCTCTTTTGGTCCCTTTGAGACTTAAAACTAGATCTTGGTGGTTTGGACCATTCTAATGGATAAAGTTGGAAACTTTATCCATTATGGAGCTATTAGAATCCATAAAATGTGATCTTGGTTCGTGTATTCCTTCCATGCAAGTGTCATGATGTCTTAATGGATTAATAAGTTAAGGTTTTGACTTTTGGACCTTTTCTAGACATGGAAAGTCATAAAGGTGGAAACTTTATGACTTAGAATGATGTTGCGTGTCTAGATCTGAGTGTTGGATGAAAGGACTTAAGAGAATAAGCACTTAATGGAAAAGTGTCATCTGAACGAGAACGTTAGGTGTACCTTTGAGTACGCTACGCGTACTCGTATGGGGTCCCGATTCTGGATGGTGAGTACGTTGGGCATACTCAGCCTGAAGTTTGACTTTCGTTGACTGTTGAATTTCGACCAAGTTTGACTGTGGGTCAAACTTGAGGATTTTGGGCTATTAATTAAGATTTTATCTGGTTCTGGTGTTAGTGGATTCGCGGGTGCAAGTAGTGCAGCAAAGGGATCGTAACGTAGTGTTTCAGAGTTCTTGATTTAGGTGAGTTTTCTCACTGTGCTTGTGGGTCGAAGGCACCAATATCGGCCCACTACCTTGTGTATGTAGGATGCTTGTTGTCTTTGTGACTCTTGCATGATTGTATGTGTATATATGTGTTGACCGGCTGGGTCTTATTTCTTATTACTATTATATGTGATATTGTGTATACTAAGACCTTGAGTAGTCTCCAGGATTGCTGATAACCCACAGGGCATGCTGTTTGCCCACTAAGACTTTGAGTAGTCTCCAGGGTTGCTGATAACCCACGAGGCAAGTTGTTTGCCCACTAAGATTTCGGGTAGTCTCTTGGGTTGCTGATAACCCATAACTGTTTATTTGTGATGTGTTGTGTATGATATTTTGGGGAACTCACTAAGCTTTTGCTTACGATTTGTGGTTTAAATGGTTTCAGGTTTTCTTATAATGAAGGAGGGGCACGACTCGATTGTATCGCATCAACGGGGGACTTGTGCACGTGATAACTTTTGAAGATACTCTGATAAATGTTTTAAGATTAAATGGTCCTATTTAATATTTTGTAGTTGTGATTTAAATAAACACTTAGATTTTTAATTGAAAAATTAGGGTTGAAATTTGGGGCATTACAAAAAACATCAATCTTCTCCAAATGGTCCGTCTAAGCTATATCTAGGCACAAAAAAACATATTTGGAAAAAAAAATTATTTTCGAAATTTGCATGTATGCATCATCAACAGTAATATGGACTGATAATGAGCACAATCAGCAGTCATATGGACTACGGATGTGCACAATCAGCAGCTATATGGACTGCTGATGAGCAGTAAACAATCCATATGATTGCTGATTGTGCTCATCATCAGTCCATATGACTGCTGATTGTTCTCATCAGTAGTCATACAAAAAAAAACAAAAAAAAAATCGTCAAATCTTTTTTTAGCCTAGATATGGCTTAGACGTACCATTTGGAGAAGATTGGTGTTTTGGGTGTTGAAAAATGATGAGTTGATTATGAGTTCGCAAGTTCTCACAAATATATATATATATATATATATATATATATATATATGAGGTTCGACATAGTTAAGTCAAATAGCTAGTACGAATGTGTGTGATATATTGAGATCTTGTCCTCATTGTATGGAGACGAAGGTTTCTAGGGGGGGCTAGTAAGGAGTCAAGGGTTTCTATAGAAAGGGGGAGGGCTAGGATTGTAGAAGATATATTTGAATTAGGTGTCTAAGCCAATAACTAAATTAGTATAATCTTGAATTATTAGCAAAGTCCATTTGGGTTGCCCTCACACCTACTTGTTGACTGGAATGCTTTTTGGAGAGAGAGAGAGAGATTTATTAAACTATTATATGGTTAATAAATTAATTAGAAATCAAAATAAATAATTTATTAATATATTATAAGAATAATATATTAATTAGAAATAGTATTGTTTAATTAACAATCAATTAGAAATTAATTGGAATTAATTTTGAGATTAATTAGATTAATTAAAAGTGGAAGGACTAAAGGTGACAATGTTCAAAACTTGAACATTGACCAATTATAGAACCTCCCATAAGAGGGACGGTTCTAGAGGAGTTCTATAGGGTTTCTATAGCTTTTCTTGGGCTCTAAGGGAACTTGGATGCCTTAGGGGATAACAAAAGGATTAGGGTTATCTAAAAGGAAACAGTCTTATCCTTAGCCTCCGTATCACCTATATAAACCACATTGGGTTATGATTTTCGATATTCATCTGATTCCAAAGAGAATTTTGAAAATTTCCTTCCTTCTCATCTCTCTTCTTTAGCCTCCAATTTGCTAGGGTTTGGGTGTGAGTTATTAGAGGCACGAGACTTCTGGTGCTTGCTTTCTGAAGACCAACAAAGGAAGGATTACTAGTTTATTTGCAATAACAAACTAAGGTATGAATTTTCTATTAACACTTTATTAATTTCTAAAATAGCAATGTACTTTAGGGTTCTTGATATTCAATAGTTGTTTGCAAATAATAGTGAGAATATAGATCCTTTAGGGTGCATGTGAGCTTAGGGTTTATGTTTTTCCACAAAAATAAGATTTTTGTAACA